TGACTATCAAAGTTCCTTTAAGCTTTTTATACAGAATTAAAGTACATCGGCCACTACTTTCGGTATTCTTTGAGTAGCATAGTTCCATTTTTAAAACCTAAAAGTCTTTTCCTAAATCCTTGAAATTATATTGATCTTTTGAAAAATACTTCTCTTTAAACTTAATGAAATTAAATAAAACATCATAGAAGATCCGGAGTTTTGACTTCTTGGAAAGGTGGAAATTCTGTAGTCTTATTGCAAATCCTTTAGTTCACCTTCTTCGTACGTAAAGCTTGTCAAGCGAACCAATGTCATATCTAAAGCTGTTTATAATATCCATCAAACGGAACAATTTATAATTTATCAATCAAAAAAACTTGAGAGATAAAAATAATCTCTATTTCTTTTTTATCATTTTGATAATGAGATTCAGAGTCGTCTAAAAAGTCTATACAAATCATATTTTATGAAACTGTACAATAACAAGTGCTGTATTTATTCAGTGTAATGATCTTCGCTAGCAATCACACGAATGTCAATGATCACGCAAACTGCTTATGCCATTAGAAACGTTTGAATAAATGCGGCACTTGTTATCGTACGATTTCGTAGAAAATGAGTTACACGGACTTTCTGGGCAACCCTTTATATAAATATTCTCACATTATCTTCATCAAATAATATTAAACCCGAACTTCTATCGGGACCATCTTTAATTGTTCCAATATAAATAACAACAATACCTCAACCTTCATGTGAATCTTTATCATTTGATGTTCCATCATCAATTTCCTTACTTAAAACATCCTTGGTTGAATCGAATAGATCTTCATCAAATTATCATTTAGAATCAAGTCTAAATTACAGTGAAAATTCTCTTTAAGAAGGAAACACTTGAAAAAAAAATTGTCCTTGTTGTTCCTATTAAACTATATCATCTATTAAGAATGAATCTGATAATAAAACTTTAGAAGATGAAACTTCTAATCATTAACTAAATCTTTTACATGTTAAAGAAATGTATTTATCATCTATATCATCTGAAGAATATGCAACAATAGATGAAACAAAACAATTAAATTTATGTAAAATTAATCAAGTTATTTATACAATTCGTTCAACAATTGATAATGATAATAGTCAACGGAATGAAATACTTGATGCTTTAACATCATCGTTACAATAACTAGTAGAAGAAATATCTTCTGTTTGACAAGATAATGAAGAAGAGATTCTAGATAATACAAATATACTTGAACCAACTTCAGGATTTGATCAGATTTTTGTTCAAACTATTCTCTATGAAGTTATGATGAGACTTTTTAGTTTTTATTTACTTATTGTAATGTAATATGGCTGATTATCTCGGAAGTTCGTAATCCTAGTATATTTCATTAGATAAATCCTAATAGAGTAATAAAATACTATAGTACAACGAATGAAATGAAAATATAACAGGTTGCTTATTGTTTTTATTATTATTGTTTTCTTTTAATCATATTTATCTTATTTAACTTAGGTTAATAATCGAAGTTTATTTACCCTTCGATTAGATGATGCCCAAAAATGGCTTAGTATACCAACTGAAATAATTAATATATTAATCTGCCATGAATTGAAAACTAAAGAAGTAAAATATCTATTAAATGATTTCATTTTTTAGAAATTTATTTATTTTGTTTCTAAATTTAGGCAAATACTTTGATTAGTCCTACAAAATCATCAAAACACATCGATCATTATTAACGCAACAATCTGGTTTATTTATATCATTGATAAGACATAATAGTATGTCATCATCTCATAATGTTTCACCATCACCAAAAGTTACAAGTCCTGTTTATACAAACACAACTAATAAACAACCACAGTCACCACCTGTTCCTGCTAAATCAAAATATCGAGCATCAAATACACAACTCGTGGGGATCAATGGAGATAATCATACTCAAAGAAAAATACAATGACAAAATGGCTTTGAAATTGATGAAGTAAATACTTTGATTTAAAAAAAAAATCTTTTTTACATATGTTTCTCGTTTATTTTTTGTCTGATTTCTCAGTAACAGAATCAGAACGATCATTTAAAGACAAGAAGAAGTTTTTTGAAAATGGATACAAAGATTCTGAATCTAAACCGAAACGTATATTGAAAGAGAATGTTTTATTTATCAGTTAAATATGTTTTTTTTTGTATTTTTAATTAACTTGATAATTTAAATATATTAATGAACATGAATTATTACAAATGAAACAAGAAGAAGGTAAATATAAAAACTATGAAATACAAAGAGGCAACAGCATAGATTTCAAGTCCGAAGTCTATGCTGTTTCCTTCTCGATTAAATGCTAATTTTTCGAATAACAGTTATTCTATTGAACATAAGTTCGTAAAACTAACCTGTTGCGTGAAAGTCTTAGTACAGTATATTCACTCATTTTTCACTCGTTTGAAGACAAGCGATTAGAACCAGATTTTTTCACTGTCTCAGAAAAGATATTCAGAATTTCCTTCTATGATAGGTCGTACCCTCGTCGCCAAAAAGCATTTCGTCGAAAGACTCGTAGGACACTTTAGACTGTTGCGAGCCCTTTAATTTTTATATAGGCTTATTCAGCATAAAGGGATCAACTCATTTTGCCCTTACTCTCACCTTTGGAGCGCCTTTCGTGGCCAAAAAGTACTTTCGACGAAGTACGTTCCGGCGAAGAGCATATATACCATATATAATAATAACAGAAACATGGATTTAAAAAACAAATTAAAAAGAAAAAACAAAATTTGTTATATTCATTATTATTTTATCTTTTATTATTATTTTCATGTGTTCCTGTAACATGATAAATAAATAAAAAAAAATTCCCTTTAAACTATGAAAGTTTAAATAAGAAAAAAATTCAATACACGATCAATAGTTGATCTCTTATATTAATATATGATGCTGCTTTAATAAATATAATGTTTATGAATTGATTAT